TATTTAATATAAATTAAAATGCATTCATAGATTTTAATAGAGGTGGATTAAATCTAAAAATACAATGGAAGAATTTAACATTTTTATAATAATAATACTAATAAAATTTATATTATGGAATAATCTCAAAGATCTTTAGAAACAAAAATGCAGAAGTGCATACAGGAATAAATGCCTAAAAACTAGACAAAAACAATGCAATTATAATAAAAACAAACAAAATATTAAAATAAAAGTTAAAGCGATAAAAATGTTTTTAAAAAAGTTAATGTGATAATATTATTTAAATAAAAATAAATAACAATAATGCGTTAATAATGTGTAATTTTATATAGAGAAAAATATGTTCTCTAACCTTGAGTTTCATTTAACTGCGACATTGAGCACTTTTGAGGTGGTGCTTGTTTTAACTTAAAGTCATCCAAGAACAGATCAGATTAAATTTAATTTATTTTAATTTATTTTATGTGCAGTGCATATCCCAAATAATAAAAAATTTTGTTAGAAACTTGAGGCCTTATTAGGAGCTCAAACAGTTTCTTCTTCTTCCTCTTCTTCTTCTTCTTATTATTATTAATATTATTATGCTTTAAACAACAATTACATGACAACAGAGCTAACAATATAATTCCAGGGTGATAATAATAATAGATAAATAATAATAGTATTACAAAAAATAAATTAAGAAACAAGCTAATAACACACAAAAAAAGTAAGTAAATAAATAATAAAATGAAATTATTTCAATTATAGACCAACAGAACGTTCACATTAACAAAAAAAGGAAAATAATATGCAAATGTAGTAGCTTTTAATGGCATTTCTATTGGCACTATGATGAAAAGTACATCAGCAATTCCTTATAAATAACAGTAAAATCTTATATATATATATATATATATATATATATATATATATATATATATATATATATATATATATATATATATATATAATGTACGCTTATGTAAATTTTAAAAGGAGTTCAATTATTTTTTTATGTTCTTTTTTTTATTAATATACGAAAATGAGAATATATAATCACAGTATGTTAACAGGAAATCGAAGAGACAAAAAGAGCAACAATTTTGGAAAAAGAAACAACAACAGATAACAAAAAAATAAACAAACAAACAAAAAAAACAGGAGGGGTAAATACATTACAAGTTAAAGAAAAATATTAAATAATTTACAAATTTCAGTTGTTTTTAAAGCCTTTTTTGTAAAAGAGTTAGACACTGTTTCAAAGTAATAAGGAGCTCAAACAGTTACACGCAGAAGTGGACCAAAAGCGACGCAGGTGACATCATATAAGCAGACATCAGTTCAGGCGGAATCCACCAATCAGCGTGTGAGACGGCGGCGGCGGAGCATGGAGTTACCTGATTGACACCCAAGGGCGACCAACGAGCAGCGAGCTCACATCAGGCGGGGGCGGGACTTTGATCAGAGCTCCACACGGACGCGCAGGTATTAAAGTTATTAGATGTACATGAGATGTCAGTGTAGCTCGGAGACACTCAGACACATCTTCATCTGCAGTTAAATAGACAATAGTAACAAACCGCGGAGATGACGATCCTGGAGGTGGGCAGTCAGCTGATAGAGAGCGCAGTTCTGCAGATGAGCCTGACTTCAGTTCTGCTGACCGCGTCTGTGTTCACACTGACTCTGGGATACTTCAGCAAACTGCTCTTCACACAGCACAGCTCTGAACACACGGTAACTCACTGTAACACTGTAAATACTGCTGTTTTCATGCATACTACAGTAAAGCCTATTATACTGAATAAGCAACTCTTGTTATTGAATGCTCCGACAGACTGTGGTGGCCTGTTCACTACAGTGAACTGAACATATGTGCTGCTGTTGTAGTATACTTAGTTTTACTGCGGTGTATTGTAGTATAATATTCTCAAAACACTGTTATTTATGCTATAAAGCTGTTATAAATATTATTATGTCTACTGCCTACACATACTCTGTCTGTCTGTCTATCATGCTGTAGTGTTGACTATAGTGAACTGATCAACAGTAATAAACACTGTAGTGTACTGTACTGCATGCTGTATTGTAGTGTAATATACCCTATATTATAGTTGGGTCATTTGTTTATATTACTATTATGTTACCTCAACACATTAATTCAAGTTCTTTACTATAGTACGATTCAAAACACTATTTAGTTGTGTAATTAATCTGTTATGATCATTATTATGTCTGTCTATCTATCTATCTATCTATCTATCTATCTATCTATCTATCTATCTATCTATCTATCTATCTATCTATCTATCTATCTATCTATCTATCTCTGTCCGTCCGTCCAATCATCTGTCCGTCCATCTATTTTTATATGTCCATCCATCCGTCCATCCGTCTATCCATCCATCCATCTATTATTATATATGTCTATCCGTCCATCCACCCATCCATCTATCTATCCATCCATCCATCCATCCATCTATTATTATATATGTCTATCCCTCCATCCACCCATCCATCTATCTGTCCATCCATTCATCCACCCATCTATCCGTCCGTCCATCCATACATCTACCTATCCATCCATCCATCCATCTATCCATCCATCCATCTATCCCTCCATCCATCCATTCATCTATCTGTCCGTCCATCCATCCATTCATCCATTCATCCATCCGTCCTTCCTTCCGTCCGTCCGTCCATCCGTCCGTCCGTCCGTCCGTCCGTCCGTCCGTCCGTCCATCTATCTATCTATCTATCTATCTATCTATCTATCTATCTATCTATCTATCTATCTATCTATCTATCATTATATATGACCGTCCATCCGTCCATCCATCCACCCATCCATCTATCTATCCATCCATCCATCCATCCATCTATTATTATATGTCTATCCCTCCATCCACCCATCCATCTATCTATCTGTCCATCCATTCATCCACCCATCTATCCGTCCGTCCATCCATACATCTACCTATCCATCCATCCATCCATCCATCTATCCATCCATCCATCTATCCCTCCATCCATCCATTCATCTATCTGTCCGTCCATCCATCCATCCATTCATCCATCCGTCCGTCCGTCCGTCCGTCCGTCCGTCTATCTATCTATCTATCTATCTATCTATCTATCTATCTATCTATCTATCTATCTATCTATCTATCTATCTATCTATCTATCTATCTATCTATCTATCATTATATATGACCGTCCATCCATCCATCCATCCATCCATCCATTATTGTCAATCTATCCATCCGTCCGTCCGTCCGTCCGTCTGTCTGTCTGTCTGTCTGTCTGTCTATCTATCTATCTATCTATCTATCTATCTATCTATCTATCATTATATATGACCGACCGTCCGTCCGTCCATCCACCCATCCGTCTGTCTGTCCATCCATCTATCCATCCATCCACCCATCCATCTATCCGTCCATCCATCTATCCATCCATCCATCCACCCATCTATCCGTCCATCCATCTATCCATCCATCCATCCACCCATCTATCCGTCCGTTCATCCATCCATCCGTCCGTCCATCCATCCATCTATCCCTCCATCCATCCATCCCTCCATTCATCCGTCCGTCCATCTATCATTATATATGACCGTCCATCCATTATTATACATATCCATCCATCTATCCATCCGTCCATCTATCCATCCATCCATCTATCTATCCATTCATCCATCTATCTATCTATCCATTCATCCATCCATCCGTCCGTCCATGTATCTATCATTATATATGACCGTCCGTCCGTCCATCTATCTGTCTGTCTGTCTGTCTGTCTGTCTGTCTGTCTATCTATCTATCTATCTATCTATCTATCTATCTATCTATCTATCTATCTATCTATCTATCTATCTATCTATCTATCTATCTATCTATCTATCTATCTATCTATCTATCTATCTATCATTAACTCTTGTCTCCATCATCTCCCCCTCAGAAGTATCCTCCTCATATCCCGTCCAGTTTGCCGTTTCTGGGTCAGGCTGTGGCGTTCGGCAGGAGCCCCATCGAGTTTCTGGAGAAGGCGTACGAGCAGGTGAGTGTGTCCAGGTGTGCTCAAGTGTTTAGTGTACAGGAGTTCAATATGAGTTCAGGTGTTCAGTGTTCAGGTGTGTTCAGTGTTCAGGTGTGTTCAGTGTTCAGGTGTGTTCAGTGTTCAGGTGTGTTCAGTGTTCAGGTGTGTTCAGTGTTCAGGTGTGTTCAGTGTTCAGGTGTGTTCAGTGTTCAGTGTACAGTAGTTCAAGTGTTCAATTTTAGGTGTGTTCAAGTGTGTTTAGTGAAGGTGTGTGCTCAGTCTACAGGTGTTTAATGTAAAATGTACAGGTGTTCAGTGTGTTCAAGTGTCTGGTCTGTGTGTTCAGGTGTGTGTGTGTGTAGTAACAGGTGTGTGTTCTGCTGTTGTATGTGCAGTATGGTCCGGTGGTGAGCTTCACTATGGTGGGAAAGACCTTCACCTACCTGCTGGGCAGCGACGCGGCGGCTCTGATGTTCAACAGTAAGAATGAAGACCTGAACGCCGAGGACGTTTACGCCAGACTCACCACACCTGTGTTCGGCAAGGGCGTGGCCTACGATGTGCCCAATCCTGTAAGATACACACTCCTGAGACAAACATCCACACGCTTTTACATCATCTACTACAGTCAGTATTAAACGTGTTATTACCCACCAGCTAAATAAATAAAAAACAGCAAGTAACTGAAATAAGTTAGAAAATAAAATAAAAAATTACAGTTTGCATCTTATAATTTTGTTTATTTGTTTCCTGTGCCAAAAACAATAATTGCAACTAGTAATCTAAACTCTGCTCATCTCATCAGACATTTCTCCTGATATACTAAATTCACACTTGATCACAATTTAAGTCACATTTATAGACCTTTTTCTTGGAACGCAAAATTACCCATGATGCTTTGCGTGTATGCGCAAGGAGAATGCGAAGAACTCCCGGTCGGCAGCTGATGCGTGTAAACAGTCACATTTGGACAGCTTTGAAACGATAGTTTTAGTCTATTTTACCTGCTTTTATCCTCTTTGAGCTAATACTGTTGTCCATCAGCAGCATCTCCTGGACTGATCATTTACAGAAATGTGATCTAACAGGATGGAAAACAGCTGCTGTGAGGCATTTCCCCCTCATTAGCCCCTTTCACACAGTGATACTGGTAAATATCTGGAAAATTTCCGGAACGACTTTACCGGTATATTGAAAAAAGCGCTGTTCACACAGGCGAGGACGTTACGGAAATTTTCCGGAAAAGAGCATTCACACATCCATTCCAAAATACCGGTAAATTCTGACATCATTCACCACAAATGAGCTGTAAACGGCTGCGCTTGTATTTGTAAACATTTGACTAAATTACAGACTCTGTGGATGATCAATATTGTGAACAACTTTCGCAGGATCACTTTCGCATGTCGAGATGTTCATAATATGTGTGTGTGCTGGCGCTCACAGGCTGTTTCACAAGCGCACGCAAAGCTTGAAGGTAAACAAACAACAGCTTATCATAAGCATCTCATCGATGATTATTTACACAGTTGGCATTAAGAAGAACATATAAACGTGATCTGACTAACTTCTAGCAGCTAAATGTGTCTGGAAAAATATTCAAAGGCTTTTATTCTCATAAACCGCGCGCACGTAAATGCGTCTGACTGTTGTGATTGGCTAAAGCAGACGTCTCACGTCAGCACGTTCTAGACGTGCACGCGCTTATTACGGGAATCTTCCTTCTGCATTCACACAGCGCAGCATTCCGGCAAATTGCCGGTAATGTTACAACTTCTCTTTCCGGAAAATAGCCAGAACGAATTTACCGGTATTTTCAAAAAGGACCTGTTCACACATACAACCTTTCCGGAAAATTGCCGGCAATTTTCCGAAAAGGTCTGTATGTGTGAAAGGGGCAGCATCTTCTGCAGTTTAAATGAAGCCTCGTCATCGCTAAAGTCAACAGTTTCTCTTTATTTCAAATATATAACCAGCCCAAACTAATGTAGTTCACCAAAATGTTTGACACACACACACGTAGCCTGTACTGTGCCACTGACACACTGATTTAATAACTGTGACAGTGAAAATATAGGCGAGTGTCATTTCCAAATGACAGAAAAACACAAACCGTGGTGAAAACAACACACGAAATCAAACACAAACGGCTCGCGATTAGAATGAACAGCAAATCAGCAGCAGAGGATCAATAACAGACTTTTATTGCTCATTTCTGTAAATTGCACGACTTTCATACCTGTTAAGTTTCATGCCAGAACTCTGTACACACACACACACACTGTATTTCTGACGGCAGACACGTGAACTAGGAGAAGGTTTTTCTCGTATTTCTGTCGCGCTTGAACCACATGTGACAGATTATAACGGCTTTAACAGACACATTTCTAAGTTGTGTGTCACAAAAACACTCTGTTATCCATTAAAAACGTTATTGAAACCCATTTTCGGAGCGCAAATTACCAGTTGTACACGCTGTAAACAGAAGTTTTTAGCATTCTACCGGAAGACGCTGGTCGCGATGGCGCCCTCCATGCAGCAGCCATGAAAAAGATCTATATATCGAAATGCATTATTTTCACAAAGAGATTTACTGTCAAAATCTTTATTTTTAACCCCAGCACCTTCATTTCCTCATGTCTTATGCGACTGGTGTTTGTTCACTCAGTTATTTCTGGAGCAGAAGAAGATGCTGAAGACCGGCCTGAACATCGCACAGTTCAAACAACACGTGGAGATAATCGAGGAGGAAACCAAAGATTACTTCAGACGATGGGGAGAGAGCGGAGAGAGAAGTACGCAGACGGAGAATAATCTCACAGCAGTCGCATGACATTCGTTATCTTAGGACTGCATGGATTTGATATTCATTCATTCATTGTCTTTTCGACTTAATCTGGGGTTGCCACAGTGGAATGAACCGACAACTATTCCAGCATATGTTTTACGCAGCGGATGCCCTTCCAGCTGCAACCCATCACTGGGAAACATCCATACACATTCAATTCCAATTTAGCATACCCAATTCACCTGTACCGCATTGGGGGAGAACATGCAAACTCCACACAAAAACACCAACTGACTCAAACCAGCGACCTTCTAGCTGTGAGGCGACAGCACTACCTACTGCGCCACCGGCTCACCAAATTTGATATTGTAATATTTCATTCATTTTCATTAAGCTTAGTCTCTTATTTATCAGGGGTCAACACAGCGGAATGAACCGCCAACTATTCAAACACATGTTTTGATTTCTGCCCTAAAGCTGCAGTTGTGTGTGTTCAGATCTGTTTGATGCGCTGTCGGAGCTCATCATCCTGACGGCGAGTCGGTGTCTGCACGGATGTGAGATTCGCAGTCTGCTGGACGAACGCGTCGCTCAGCTTTACGCAGATCTGGACGGAGGATTCACACACGCCGCGTGGCTGCTGCCCGGATGGCTGCCGCTGCCCAGCTTCAGGTAGCAGCGCTAATGAAACAGACACTTACAGGCCCGCAGAAGTCCAGAATGTGTCCCGTATGTGTAGTCCAGCACACACTGAACATGTGCGACCTGACTCTGCATGATGTGTGTGTCTGATGTGTGTGTTTCAGACGGAGAGATCGAGCACATCTGGAGATCAAGAAAATCTTCTATAACGTCATCAAGAAGCGCAGAGAAGATACCGAGAAACACGACGACATCCTGCAGACGCTCATAGACGCCACGTACAAGTATGTGCACACACACACACACACACACACAAAGAGAGAGATCAGCTGAACAGTGTGACATGATTAATCTTGAAAATTGGGTTGTAAATTAATTGTAAATGTTTATATTCTAAAATAATTTGCTATATTTATTTAAAGTATAGAAATAATATTATAATGATTATTATAGCAACATATATTTTATTAATATATATAATATATTTTAATTCAGAATTTCATATTATATATATATAAAACTTGAATATGTAAGTTAGTATTAGTTTATTTTTATTTGATTTTGTTGTAAGTATACATAAATACTTATATATATATATATATACACACAGGGCAACACGATGGTGCATTAGGTAGCATTATCGCCTCACAGCAAAAAGGTCGCTAATTCGAGCCTCGGCAGCTGGGAGGGCATCCGCTGCATAAAACATATACTGAATATATATATATATACGAAATGAAACACCAACTTATTCAGCATATGTGTTATGCAGCGGATGCCCTTCCAGCTGCAACCCATCACTGGGAAACAGTGATATATATCATATATATATATATATATATATATATATATATATATATATATATATATATATATATATATGAGCAATATCACACTCTTAGCAGTGTGATATGGCTGTATATCGGCACTGGTGGGAGGTGTGCGTTGGCACAAGGCTGCCTTAGTGTACCAACCAGTGCCGATATACAACCATATCGCACTGCTACGAGTGTGATATTGCGTTTATACAACAGTTTAACGGCATAATTGTGTATATAAAAACAAAATCAAACATGGAGAGCCTCAAAAACTCTTTTGTATGAGAAACTACTTTCTTCTGTGTTGGATTCAAATCATAAGCCGACAGTTAAACAGCTGAGCAAGCATCTTTTAAACTTTAGATCTGTAGTGTCTGCTTTCTGCTGGCTGTATGTGGGCGGAGTAATACACAAAGGGTAAAGAGGCTGTACGGGTGCTGATATTACTTAAATATATCACGGCTATCAGCCAATCAGATTCGACAGGGTCCCCGCGGGTCCTTAAAAAGTCTTAAAATGTCTTAAATAAAATTTTTGATTTTTAAGGTCTGAAAATGTCTTGAATTCTGTAATTTTCCATAAGGAGGTCTTAAATTTCATGTGGGATCTTAAATATCATGTCCGACTCGTCTTATGGCGGCAAATCAATGCCAATATTAATCGAGCGCAGCGGTGATGTTTGCGTGCGAGGAGAAGTGAACCGTGAGCAGATTACAGCCAGGTCTACACGCAAGAAAACTACAGCTCGCGAGGGAACAGGGGATCTTCACGCGCGTGCTCAACTGATCCAGCGCGAGAAAACAAGTCCCGTAAACAAGTTCTCTCCGCTCGCTCGCTGGTTCTTCTCTCTGCTCGCGCGAAACATTTTGAATTTTTGTCAGTCCTAGGGCGGGACTTGGTTTACTTGTTATCTCTAACGCTATTGGCTACTCTGCCTTTCCAGAAGTTAGCCGGGATTGGACGCAGGTAAGCTAGTTTCCCTGTTAAATAAAGATATATAGGATATCTTATCATAATGTCACAATGTGAAACTAATAGGCTTACTTTCTCAGTAATAATAGGTGAATGAACTTACTTTCAATAATGAGATATTTCTTGTAATAATTAATCTCATAATAATGCCTATTCTTACCATCATGACCAAGTCATATAATGACATATCAAAATAATGAGATATATTCTTGTAACAAACTTTATTACTTGGGAGAGAAAGAGAGAGTTATACCATGTGGCAAAAGATCTCTCCATTAAACAGAAATTGGGGAAATGTGTGTTTTTAACCATTTGATGAAGTTTAGCACCTACATTTAAACTGAACTCAAACCAAACGTGTTCAAATTTATAAAAATCTTTTTTTTTTCTTAGACTCATTGTACTTGACTCATTTTCAATGAAGAACAAGTCAGAATAAATTGGATGGACAATAGTATACAAAATAGGCTACACATGCATGCAGTGCATAAAGTACAAAGGTTTATAGTAAATATATTGCCATTAGTCTGTTATTCCACTATACAGTTAAAGTCTGAATTATTAGCCCCGTTTATTTTTATCCTAATTTTTATTTAACGGAGAGAAGATTTTTTTCAACACATTTCTAAACATTATAGTTTTAATAACTCATTTCTAATAACTGATGTATTTTCTCTTTGTCATGATGACAGTAAATAATATTAGACTAGATATTTTTCAAGACACTTCTATACAGCTTAAAGTGACTTTTAAAGGCTTCACTTGGTTAACTAGGCAGGTTAGGGTAATTGGGCAAGTTATTGTATAATGATGGTTTGTTCTGTAGACTTTCGAAAAAAATAAATAGCTTAAAGAGGGTAATAATATGGACCTTAAAATGGGTTTTAAAAAATTAAAAACTGCTTTTATTCTAGCCGAAATAAAACAAGAAAAAAGTGGGCTACTAATTTTGACTTCAACTGCATATGTGACCTTTAAGATGTGGGCCTGTCGTATAGAAAGTGGTATTTGTATGCCTCTGAAGTGGAATGATGTAATGGATAGTGAGTAAAGCCAAACGAAGACTGTAGAAATTAAATTGTTGCTCAATAGGTGGCGATAAACACCCATCTGAATGTCTGTCACTGTATTTTTTATGTTTGATTGGGCTAATTATTTTTGATTGAAGTCTTTATATGCAGGTTATTCAATCATTAACTAAAAATTAGATTGAAAAATATATATAATATATAGATATATATATTTTACACTGATCTATATTACAAACAATGTTAACTATTATAATAATATACAAAGCTGCACTGCACATATAGTATGCATTGTATGGAAAGATCTAAAACGCAAATAAACTCTTCTGAAGATAATATTTCCTAGAAAGATCATTCCCTAGTGTAATAATGAGCACTGCTGTTGTGGTTAATAATGAAGTAAAATACAACAAACCAGACAAGTGCTGCACGGGACAAATCAAATGGGTTCAGAAAGTCATGTTACAAGAATGCAAGTCATTATTTTAGAAGATTAATTTTTATTATTTGACTGTTTCTCGAGATTGAATCCTCATAAAGTTCATAGAAAGTTTCTTATGATTATGACTTGCAAATTGTATATATATTTAACGGCGTGATCTTTTAACCTGCGTCCAATCCCGGCTAACTTCCGGAAAGGCAGAGTAGCCAATAGCATTAGAGATAACAAGTAAACCAAGTCAACCAAGTAATCTGCTCACGGTTCACTTCTCCTCGCGCGCAAACATCATCGCTGCGCTCGATTTATATTGGCATTGATTTGCCGCCATAGATTTGCCGCCATACTTCAAAACATCATTCTGTGTTGACACACTGAACATTTTCCTGTTTTTTTTTTTTTTTTTTAGGTAAAGTCTTAAATTTTCATTTTAGAGGACTTAAAAAGGTCTTAAAAGGTCTTAAATTTCCTGTTAAAAAATGTGCAGATACCCTGTTCGAGAACCAGACAGAACTGTTGTATAAACATATATATATATATATATATATATATATATATATATAAAACATATATAAGTATTTATACACACACACACACACCATAGTTGAAGTCAGAATATTTGCCCCCCATTTATTTTTTCTTCAGTTTCTGTTTAACAGAGAGCACATCTCTAATCATAACAGTGTTAATAACTCATGTCTAATAACTGATGTATTTTCTCTTTGTCATGATGACAGTAAATAATATTAGACTAGATATTCTTCAAGACACTTCTATACAGCTTAAAGTGACATTTAAAGGCTTCACTAGGGTAATTAGGGTAACTAGGCAGGTTATGGTAATTAGGCGAGTTATTGTATAACGATGGTTTGGTCTATAGATTATCGGAAAAAATATAGCTTAAAGGGGCTAATAATATTGACCTTAAAATGGTGTTTAAAAAATTAAAAGCTGCTTTTATTCTAACCGAAATAAAACAAATAAGACTTTCTCCAGAAGAAAAAAATATTATCAGACATACTGTGAACATTTCCTTGCTCTTGTAAACATAATTTGGGAAATATTTAAAAAAGAAAAAAAAAAAAAGAAAAAAATAGGATATGACAGTTGTTTTTACGATAATGTTAAAATTATAATATTATATATACACACTTTTAAAAGTGTCAAAATATTTGAAATATGAAAATAATATTTTTGTTGTTGTTGCACAAAACACTAATAATAATTCAGCCTCATGCATGTGCAGATTCAGAAAGCACATTAGATGGAGACACCGCCACCTTGTGGAGCATCTGTGAACAAACGCAAAACATTACACAACAAATATTATTATATTATATTATAATAATATAATTATAATAATATATTATATTATAATAGTATTTGTGTAATACATGGAGCATTAATTTAGTGTTATGTATTTGGTGACGGTGTTATGTAAATGTCTGGTCCCACTTCTTAACTGCATGTCCTTACATTCAGAAAATAAACACAACATATAGACTGTGTTGACAATGTATTGCAGAACAGCTCTGGTGTTATGGAGGGACAGGATTGGGCCTGAGGGATGATTCATGTGTAAGGAGGAATGGGTCAAACGTGTAATTATAAATGTAGTCACAGAAATGTAATTAAATGCAGGTCATTAATCAATCATAACCACAATATAACACATGCATTTACACAATAAGCACATGTTTAATTCAAGGTAAGCACATATTAGTTAAGGCCACATAATATAAAGGATGTGATGCGAGATCAGTTTGTGTAATATTAAAGTAGAGCAATCTGACTGCTGTGTGTAGAGACGGCCGTCCTCTGAGTGACGATGAGATCGCGGGGATGCTGATCGGGCTGTTGTTAGCGGGTCAGCACACCTCCTCCACCACCAGCGCATGGATGGGCTTCTTTCTGGCGCGGGATCGAGCCCTGCAGGAGCGCTGCTACAGCGAGCAGAAGAGCGTCTGTGGAGAAGAGCTTCCACCACTGCACTATGATCAGGTCTGTATATAGCAGTGACATCTGTTCAGTTCAGCAGTCCAGTAACGGGATGATTCACCCAAAGCCAGTTCTGTCATCCTCTACTCCTGGAGAGCCACCTCTCTGCAGATTTCAGTTGCTACCCATATCAAACACACCTGCCTGTAATGATCACGTGGTGTTCAGGTCCTATTTAATTGGTTCAGGTGTGTTTGATATGGGTAGCAACTGAAATCTGCAGGAAGGTGGCTCTCCAGGAACAGGGTTGATCTACTCAATAGTGTTCAACAGAAGAAAGAAACTCATAGAGGTTTGCATCAACTTGAGGATGAGTGAATAGTGATTAAATTGTTGTTTTTTGGTGAACTGAAGTTTTTGATTCTTCTAAAATATGAAAACAGCATAATATGTTATTAAATATTATTAGATATTTACGAAACATGCTAATTGAACATATTGTTTATCTGAAAAACAATGCTGAGGTCAGTTATTCTGCTTTGTTTTGATCTCTGACTCCACCCACTGCCAGTTTGGCCAATTAGATTTCAGCACCAGGGTTGCCAGATGGTAGAAAAACATGTATTTTGGTTTAATCTTGAAGGCTCAAAAAATAATTCTTGTTAACTTCCGGCAGCAGCTGTATCCCCTCTAGCAACAACCAAAATCCTCTCCAGTATTTTGAATTTGCACTGCAGTATCAAGTTCAACCAGTAGGGGTCAGTCCTATGTACTGCAGCTTTACACTTTTATAAAGTGAGCCAGCATGCTTTTTAAATATTGTATGAAGGTCTAGAACGAGTGTAAGTAATGGCAGATATTTAATTTTTGGGTAAATTATCCCTTTAAGCACTAAAGCAGGGATGTCAAACTCAATTCCTGGAGAGCCGCAGCTCTGCACAGTTTAGTTCCAACCCTGATTAAACACACCTGAGCAAACTATTTGAGTCCTTCAGGCTTGTTTGAAACCTCCAGGTAAGTGTGTTGGAGCAGGGTTGGAACTAAACAGTGCAGGGCTTCGGCCCTCCAGGAATTGAGTTTGACACCCCTGCACTAAAGTATCTGATTCAATTCTAGGGATGCACTGAATGTTGAGCTGGAGAAAATTATTGTCTGAAAATAGCGTAAAAAATAAATCATGAAAGTAGAATCGGAAAAAACTTCCACACTGGATGTAGAAAGCGCTGCACTATGAAATCAATTCAGTTCAATAGCTTGTGCCGTGCAAGGGTGGCTTGTTGCCATGCCAACTAAATCCTACGAGCATCAGAGCGTACTGTCGACTAACTTGCTCAGTTTCTAAATAGCTCAATAATACACTATAATGACATATATACATATAATTATCTCTGCATGGACCAAACATGATCTTCGGAAAAGCATCGTCCACTCAAATAACGCATCCACAAATAGTAGTTCCTGTTGCTTGCAATAGCACTCCTGTGTTGTCATGGCAACACTGTTAAAACGAAATGACTCCCTTCCGCTCATTTGCATAATGCATTTATTTTATTGGCTTGTTTATTTTTAAATTTGCATAATTTTATTTAATAAGTTGCATGAAAAGTCTTACAAATTTGCCATATATTATTTAATTAAATACGTAATAATTATCACAGACCATTTTCGGTTTTGGTCTGAATTTTGGTTTGGATGCAGAATTGAGGTGCATCTCTATTCAATATCCAGGAAACAAGTAGCGTAAATGAAAGCTGAAATGCAGGGCTCCTGAACGCAGTCATTTTACTGCTGGTGCAACTAGACTGGCTGTACTGGTGCGACCCCGGCTTTACTCCATTACAAGCAAGTTACACAACTCCCGGTCATCCCTTCTGTTTCCCACACTCATGCATTAGTGCAGTTTTGAGTGAGATTACAGTGTGATCAGACCTGCTGCTGAACTCCACATCATCAAGCTCTGTCTGCTGCTGCCGTTTGGTAAGGAAATCTGCCATGCAAACATCCTTCCTATGGGGGTGATGATGTGAAACCTGCGGAGGTGACAGACGAGAAAACACGAGCTGACATTAGCAGAGTTTCCTCTGAGTCAATCACAGCATCTCCCTCCAAACATTGAAAGAGTTTCTGACATGTGAAACGATCTAAATCTGATGTGATTGGCCTCACAGCAAGAAGGTCCCTGGTTTGAGTCCCGGCTGGGTCAGTTGGTGTATCTGTGTGGAGTTTGCATGTTCTCCCCGTGTTGGTGTGGGTTTCCTCCGGGTGCTCCGGTTTCCCCCACAGTCCAAACACATGCGCTATAGGGGAACTGATCAACTACACTAGCTGTAGTGTATGAGTGTGTGTGTGTGTGTGTGTGTGTGTGTGTGTGTGTGTGTGTGTGTGTGTGTGTGTGTGTGTGTGAATGAGTGTGTATGGGTGTTTCCCAGTACTGGGTTGCAGCTGCAAGGGCATCTGCTGTGTAAAACATGCGGTTCATTCCGCTGTGGCGATCCCTGATGAATAAGGGACTAAGCTTAAGGAAAATGAATGAATGAATGTTTCCCAACCCTTTTCCTGAAGGCACACCGACTTCTTATGTCATCAGGACATAAGAAGAGACTCCAATACCTGAGTGGGTCAGATAGGGGAGACATCTAAAATATGTACTGTTGGTGTGTGTCCAGGAACAGGGTTGGGAAACACCGATCTAGACCACTGTGTAAACTCTGCCCCCAGAACCAATGCTGTTATTGTTATTAACACTATTGAAAAACATTTCTTTAAATAAAAATGATAAATAAATGTACAAAATTATATAATTATATATAAATAAATTTTAGGCAATTGCCAGTTAAAAAAGTAAATAAAACTGCTGAAGTTGAAACTCAAGTACTGAAATTGGGGAAACACTTACAGGGGGGCTAATTATTCAGATGAGCTAATAATTCTGACTTTGACTGCATGTATGTATGTATGTATGTATTCTTGAATGACATCACCAGTTCAGACACTAAAGCACTTCATTTTACCTCAGCTGAAAGACTTGAGTTTGCTGGACCGCTGCCTGAAGGAGACGCTGCGACTGCGGCCGCCAATAATGACCATGATGAGGATGGCCAAAACCCCTCAGGTACCAGAATACACTGAAAACAGACACAGGACAGACACGAGGGCTGTGCTATATGACAAAAATCACAATATAAGTCACTGTTATCTCAGAATAAACCCTGATGTGACACAACGTAACAGAAAAGCAGATAAATATGAATGTGGATTTAATGAAAGTGATTCCCTGATGAGTTTGTGTTATTCAGCGGTTGTTATCTTGGATTGTCATGACTGACCAATCAGAATTTAGTATTCCATACAGCCGTGTAATAGATTGACATATTGCTCAGCCCTAATGGACACTGCATCCATCTGTAAACTAAGGCTGGTGTTTTCCTCAACAGAAAGTGGGTGAATACACCATCCCGCCGGGACACCAGGTGTGTGTGTCTCCCACAGTAAACCACCGTCTGCAGGACACATGGGCTGAGCGGCTGGATTTTGACCCAGACCGCTACCTGCACGACAACCCAGCGGCCGGAGAGAAGTTCGCCTACATCCCATTCGGAGCAGGTGAGTTCGACAGATCACATTAAATCAACTGGAGACTGCAGTGTGTGTGTGTGTGTGTGTGTGTGTGTGTGTGTGTGTAAATTATGACTTAATTTTTGGATGAACTGTCCTTTTAAATGTTAGCATCAGTCTGTTAATCTTAAGGATATCTATAATCTAAAAGAGTCACTAAGTTCACATTTAGACGATATAAACCTGATATAAACATCTAATGCTTGCAGTTAGTCACTTCCGCCTAAATGCATTTCCCTGCCGTCTCCTCATGCTTTAGTTTCTCAGTAAATCTTCTGACCAATCAAATGCTCTCTAATGTCTGACATGCGCCACCCACTTGATCTCACTTGCGTTTGATTTGATGTGCCTGCGCTCAACCACTCTCACTGGCTGAGCTGTGAGAAAACAAACACTATAGGCTGTTTATAAAAAAAAGGGAGGAGCTACCACATTCCCCGCCCTCCATCCAGTTGTGGTGTCGTGGACGAAAGTGAAAAGCCGGGGGTCGGGGTGTCAACGTGGTTGGAAGTGTAGAGCGGGGGAGGTGGGGTAGGGGTTTGTTGCGGGGGATTGATTGGGCCTCCTAATAGTTACTCTGGGGGCCCCAAAACGGCGTAAGCCCTTAGAATTGTCCTAACTCCCCTCTCCTAGCGGCGCCCATGGGCGTGGCTTGCTGTTTCTACTAAGAGCTGATTGGATGTAGTAAAGTAGGCGTGTCATTCATTTCAGATGGGGGAAAGGGTTTGGGGAGAGTTATTACAACCTAACAGACTCCTCCCCCTCACCATTTCTGTTTGTTATTGTAGTGATGTCAAAACTGACAGCTAAAGGGCGTGGTTTAGTATGTTAGCCACACCCAATACCCCAAACTAAGCTAATCTGAGGATTTAACTGAAAACAAACAGGATTTTCTCAATTTTAGAGTACAAGGCAAACTATTTCATATCTGAATGACGTGCAGGGCCGGCGCGTCCATAGAGGCGACCTAGGCGGCCGCCTAGGGCGGCAGTATAGAGAGGGCGGCGTCCACGACACCTCCCTTACTACCCGCGTCCTCAGTTATGTCCACGACACCTCCCTCACCACCCGCGTCCTTAGATATATTCGCGCATAGGCGACAGAACAGAGAGGGCAGCGTCAGCGACACTTCCATCAGCACCCGCGTGTCCTCAGTTATATCCGCGCACGGGGCGGCAGAATTGAAGTCCGCGACACCCGCGCATCCTCAGTTATATCCGTGCATAGGGCGGCAGAATAGAGAGCGCAGTGTCCGCGACACTTCCCTCCCTCCCTCAGCACCCACGCGTCCTCAGTTAAATCCGCGCGTAGTGCGCCGGAAAAGAGGTCCGCGACACCTTACTTCATTTTCATAACCGGTCACTTTCGTTTTCACATTGGGGTTGAGGGCGGCGTGACCGTCCTCTGCCTAGAGCGGCAGTTCAGCTTGCTCCAGCCCTGATGACGTGCACAGGTGAACCACAGGTCACCACAGAACGAGCAATGTGAGCGAACAGAATCAATTAGATTATAAAAGTTCGTTGAGACAAACTTTAGGCTGGCTTGAGAAAGTCTGTTGGAAATAGTTTATTTAGTTTAAACAGTTTTAAAAAGTGAAAAGATGATAGATAGATAGATAGATAGATAGATAGATAGATAGATAGATAGATAGATAGATAGATAGATAGATAGATAGATAGATAGATAGATAGATAGATAGATGATAGATAGATAGAAAAAATCAGTTTGAAAAAGGATAGATAGATAGTTTTGAGCTCACAAAGTTAGATCTAATGTAAAGTCAATGACAGTCTTTTGCAATGGAAGTCTATGGGACAGTTGTAGCTAGGGTGCAGTATTTGGTAGCTAGGGTGTGGCTAGAAAGTTAAAAGCTCATCAGTTATTGGCAGTTTGGTAGTCTGAGTTAAATGAGCTCAGCCATTAGTCTGTATGACAGTCTGATGCAGAGTTATGAGCTCACAAAGTTTGATCCCATGTTAAGTCAATGAGAGTCTTTTGAATGGAAGTCTTTGGGACAGTTTCTAGGGTCCAAAAGTGGTTGCTAGGGCGTGGCTAAAAAGTTAAAAGCTCATCAGTTATTTTCAGTTAGGTAGTCTGAGTTAAATGAGCCCAGTTAGAAGTCTGTGTAACAGTCTGATGCAGAGTTATGAGGTCACAAAGTTTGGTCCAATGTTAAGTCTATGGGATTTTTCCGACAGTCCCGGGACGTTTTTCAGAAAACCGAAAGTCGGATCAGTCGGAAAAGATATAGCATACTGAGTCAGAATAGTTTGGAGGTCTGGTGTGAGTTTGGTGGTCATAGCTTGAAAGCTCTAGGAGGAGATAGATTTTGAATTTTAGTCTCAGAAGAAGAAGAATAAAAATATTAAGTTTAAATAGGATTTCAGTAGTCTGGCTTTTTTCTCAAGCCAGCCTAATTAGTACTTCAAGGACTTTTTGTTAGTTTGTTTCTTACTTCAGCGGCACAATGTTGTTTGTTGTAGTTGTTGTTTTTCAAAGACCTGAGAAACGAAAACGGTGGTGAATTCAGGGGATGTGAATCAGGTCACCACAGAAACAACCCAAACCAAAACTCACAGGAAGAGAAACCAAACTGTGAACATGAGCTAGAAGTCTACCGTAATCCACTCGCATGTTGAGATGTGTTAATGCTAACACTGAAATGCTTCAGTCTGATGTTCTTTACCCTGATGCTCTCGGTCTGACAGGTCGCCATCGCTGCATTGGGGAAAACTTTGCCTACGTGCAGATCAAAACCATCTGGTCGACTCTGCTGCGGATGTTCGACTTTGAGCTGGTAGACGGACACTTTCCACCAGTCAACTACACAACCATGATTCACACACCGCACAACCCCATCATCAGATACACACGGAGAAACACACAACCACAGCAGTGATGGAAACACTCACATCATTGCATTCAGATCAGCCTTTTCTTATTTAATATGTGGGTCTCGCTTTACATTGAGCGTAATGCAGGCAGTGACATCAGCACACAGCCAACAGTGCAGTCATTATGTGTTCAGTACAACACTACAGTTGCACATTGTTAGTTGATGTTAACTCGTGCTGCATTAATAATGTTTACAGGCTTGAGTTTGTATGTTAATGCATTAGTGAATTCTGACCTCTGACTGATAAACGCTGTATTGAAGTGTTGTTCATTATCAGTTCATGCCTGTAAATACAGTCACTAATGAAAGCTTGCTGTAAAGCGTGACCCTTATGGGTTTTATTTGACCTTGAAGTGACCTGTGCTGCATAAACACTTATTTTTGTATGATGGAAAGCCTGTAATGCACACTGTAAATCAACAGTTTCTGTGTTTTGGGTTTATTTATGGTTGTGAATTGCATTATGGGATGTTGATCTCTGCTCTGTCCACTTCTGATGTTGAAAATTCAACTCTACAGTTTAACAAAGTGACTTTTATTGATGCTTTAGTAGTTTAAAATAATATAAGAATAATAATATCTAGAGGAATAAGTGTGTAAAATAAGAGTAAATGTGCTGGAGTTTATTATAAGGTTTCTGTAGCGTAATATACAACACCAACACACATTATATAACACTGCAGACTATTACACATGACAATAAAAGTCACGTTCTCAGACTTTTTTAGGTTAAAAGTTGCTGGACGAAGGATCAAGATCCCACGATGCAATTTAAAAGCGTAATAAACAAGGCAAAATACAGTGTATGAAAAGCTTTTAACAATAAACTCTTGATGTTTTATGTTGAGCCTTTGATCATTTAAAAGATTAAAAGATGTTCGTTATACACTGAGGCTTTATTTGCTTGTTTTTGATTTAGTTTAATTATTAAACTACATATAATATAATATACTATAATATAATACATAATATAATTTTATATAATTAATATAATATAATAATAGTATAATTATTTATTATAATATAATATAATTTTATATAATTAATATAATATCATATATAATATAATTCAATATAATATAATTTAACTGCTCTTGTGTTGCATGGGTTTATTTGTTGGAATAGTTAACAATGAATTATATACATTTTTCGTTGAAAATAAATCTGCTGTAAATATATTAAATCATAATTTTTGATTAGCAATACGCATTGTGCTTAATATTTAGATTTTTTCTAATAATTTCATCTCACAAAAGTATTTATATTTACTCATTTAGCATATATGTTTATCCACACTGACTGAATAAGTCTGGTACAAAATATACAAGTCTTTTTTGTCTTTTTAGCATTTATATATATATATATATATATATATATATATATATATATATATATATATATATATATATATATATATATATATATATAATTATATACTAAAAATCAATGGAAAGCTTCAAAATTATGACTGGTTTCATGATCCATGGTCGCATACAAAATTATTAGATTTTCATTATTATTAGATTTAAAATATTTTGTTATATATATATATATATATATATATATATATATATACACACACACACACACACACACACACACACACACACACACACATATATACATACATATATTATTTTATGTTATTATTTGAAACCAATCGGTGTCAATGGGTGCTTTTGAAAACAGTATTGGTTGGGTTTAGGGAAGGAGGATGGTGGGTCAGTCAGTCAGTTAACAGCAGCCTCTGGTGGATTTACATGAGAACAGAAGGCTAGAATGGCACTCGCGAGAGGAATTTGAGATCTGAAACAGCGTACACAGCGCCCTCTGGTGAATTTGCGAAAACGAAAACTGCAACAAAAAAAAACATTTGTTTCTACAGGGACATATTTGCCGTTCTCCAGAAATGTATACAGGACTGCATATCAACAATGAGCCTGGTTAAATAAATCCCTCTTCCAGCTAATCTGAATGCAAAGCAGATCATCCAAAAACAACCAATAAAAACCAGTTTCTGCTCAGTGTGTGCGTTTACACGAGCGCTCTTTAAATTATGTTTTATTACATATTTCAAGTTTACAAAAAACTTAGAAAAATAATTATAATGTCCATAAATATGATGTTGAAGTCTAAAAATAAGCAGTCAAAATGGTTCATATTTGCATAAAATGTGTATATACATGCATGTTTTCTGTGCTAAAAGTGCAATTATTTACTTATAATAGTGGAACTTTTGCAATAGAAACAAGACAACCGTTATCATTGCGAGTCAGTCTATGTGGCTCCTGTCGCTGTTCATCTAAAACTCCACATCTATAATCCTCTTAGTCTATGCTGACATTATCTTCTGCAGCTCAAACACTCTGATGGCTAATGGACAGACGGCTGCTTCTCACTCAGGCCTGCTGGACATGCTAATGAGATGGAGAGATGATGGGCACTAGTGGGCGGAGCTTTCCCCCTGATGACACGTACAAAGGGAGAATGTCAATCACAGTGTTTCTGCATCAAGTCTGATTATAAAAATGTAGAAGTAACTAATGTTTAGCATTAGAGGGTGGATATATTGACACACAACTGGGTTTAAGCCCCTTATAAGAGTCATTTTGGCATAACAGCTCCACTTTAAATGCATTAAAGAAGAGTTTGGTCACCGAACATCTTTAGAAATAGAAAGATAACACATTTAAACTCAAACCAGTTATTGTAATCTACAAAATCTCAACTACATTTGTATTTATTGTAATGTTTCTCTTGATTTTTAACTGTTTATTACATTTTTTTTTTAAATATTTATTTGACATTTGTGTGTACCGTGATCTTCAGTCTTATTTTTAGATTAGTTGATCAGTTTGTTTTTGGAGCTGGCTGATTTAATGCATCTGCACAAATATATTACAGTAGAAGAGAGATCTGTAAGCGGTGATGCACTTATTTATGCTTAGCGCTGTATTTTGCATGAACACCACTCAGACAACAATCCTACCAACCACACAGACACACACGCACACACACTTCCCCAAAAGCACGAGTAAAAACTCAAGCACAAGTCTCAGTGTAGTTTCAGACATCGCCAACAAAATAAACCACTAACAAAAGCAATAAATAACCTCCATTTCCCAACCTTAAATGTGCCGGACGTGCTATAATCATATGCAAACGTCAGGTGAGTGTATAAATGTGTTTGGTCTGCTCTGAGTTCTAAGTGTGACGCAGTGCTGTGGGAGTGTTTACAGATAAAGATCTCCACATCATTCGCTGATTATTACACTTTTACAGTATCGAGTGTGAAGCTGCGGGACATTAAGTGATCATGTGGGATCTGAACTAAACGCTGGATCACAGGTGAGCGAGTCTGAATACGATCATTCAAAAACACACAATGATTTGATTTGCTTTTGGGAATATTGAAATAAAGCTATTTTAAGCAATCAAGTAGGTTTTTGAGTATCAAATGTTATTGATTAATTGCTGTAGCTTTAAGCATACAGTATTATCATGATATTTGAGCTGCAAAAAAGTTGTTTTAACACATCTAATAAGAAAAGTACAGAGTGTATTGCTTTATTGATATTAATATTAGACTAGATATTCTTCAAGACACTAGTGTTCAGCTTAAAGTGACATGTAAAGGCTTCACTAGGGTAATTAGGGTAAAGTTAGGGTAATTAGGCAAGTCATTGTATAACAGTGGTTTGTTCTGGAGACAATCCAACACTAATATTGCTGAAGGGGCCAATAATATTGAGCTTAACATGGGTTTGTACAATTTAAGTGCTATTTAACAGCGCAGTGAATTTTTCACAGTATTTCCTCTAATATTTGTTCTTTTGGAGAAAGTCTGATTTGTTTTATTTAGGCTAGAATAAAAGCAGTTCTTAAATTCTAGTGTCTTGAAGAACATCTAGTCTAATATTATGTGCTGTCATCATGGCAAAGAGAAATCAGTGATTAGAGATGAGTTATTACGGGTGCGTTCACACCTGTGAATCGGTTCAATTGTTCTGAAATTGTTATTAAAATAGTTACAATGTTGCACTTTCACACGGCAAAGTCCCACGGAGCAAAACAGCTAAAACAAGTCATGTGAGAGTAAACTCTCCTCACATTGGTCGGAGTTTCATGTTTTATTTTTCCCGCTCATTTTAATTAATGACGATGACCAATCAGACATTATAAGGGAAATTCTACGCTTTAATTTTGAATGGTGACACACACAGACGTCATCACTATAGATCAGGAGTATAGTAGATGGCTTATGCATTATAGGCTTTACATTTTAGAGAAACATAACAGATAAACTACTGCAGTTCGGTCAATGTTCAGATGAACAGCTCTCGTTAATAGTTCAGCATAATTCACTTTAGTATTTTACACGAAACGCACAATTACCAGTAGGAATGACCTTCGCCTTGCTCATCCTCTCTTCATATAGCCGTATGCTGTACATATTCATAAAACATATATCCATATATATCCATATATCCATAGCCGGGCTCAGATGGTATCGCTTTCTCACTACAATCGATCCGCTCCAGAGTTCGTATCAATCGAGCCGAGACCACCTCATTCAGGCGATGTCGGAGCGACTGTTTTGGATCCGAGCGCGATTGCTGGAGAAAAGTTTGCGCTGTTATAATTCACTTCCCTTTTATACGTTTTGGTTCGATAATAATCTGCTAATTAAAAAAACATGAGCGAACATTTTGAAGGAGATGCTGATGCACCGTGGCGGGATGAATTTTAGTGTGGCGCCCCGTCACAGAAGAATGAATGTAGCGGAGAGCATGCATATATTTCAGTTAATATGGAAAGCGAGTGCATGTTTATACTAAAACCAATATTGGATTTTATTTTTAATGCATGTGCGTGTAAAACAATATCATTTGCACTATAAATTATGGGGTTCTGCTCTAAAGACGTTGTTCCTCCACCCAGTTTAGAGCGTCATTTTGGGCGTTTTACGTTATAACTAACATGGTTCAAACGATGGATCAGCGACAGAGAAACTATGAGTTTTAGGAAACACTCGCCACTACATCATTATCTTCCCAAACGATGCATCGTACTATGATAGTTCAGCCGTGAGTTACATCACTGTTTGGGAAACGCACCCCAGCAGTGCAACAGCAGCAAGTGCAGGATACAGGTATAAGCAGGGCCAGACCATAGACTGTAAAATATATGGACGTAGTGTCCGTGACGTCACCTATAGGTTTCTAAAGAGCGAAAGAAGCCACAAGTAGGCGTGGCCAACCGTCGCCATTTTGTTCGCTTGTCATCACACTCACGGCGGGATACCAAACAAGGGCAAAGAGGTGGAGAGTGGGCGGAGCTACAGACACTGCTGGCATTTTGCTTGGAGCTGGTTCAGACACACTTTACTTTAGGAGACGCTTAATACTTTATCACCTGCGACTCGCTTGTGTTCTGACCACCTGTGCTTGGCTGTACACTATATCAATAAAGTGTTTAGTCTTTTAAACACACACTGCTGTAATACATTGAGCCACTAAACATTGTTCTTATGACGTTTCTCAACAGGAGGAAAACGCAAATTACTTCCAAACACTTCAGATATAGTCTGTGTTAGTTAATGCAGGACTATTGATGAACTCCAGCATAACACTGTATGACAACACTTCAGATGACTGATCTAGAGCCCACAGCTAATCAATCTGACAGATTCTGCAGTGCATTACAGCTCTAAACAACATTATAAATGATCTTAAATAAAACAAATACACTTATAGAGATGGTAGATAAGTATATAACTTTACTCACATGGGAAACGGAGGCCACGTGAATGGTTTGTGAGCACAATTAAGTGCACTCAGC